CGTGTAACTTAACTTGCTTATTAAGCTATTATAAACACAGTCTGATGATTCATTATTTCTCTCCCTTCTTATTTCTCCTCCTCCGTTCTTTATATGTTAGGTGTATTAATCTGTACTCCTTTGTGTTTCCTTTTGACTCCTTTTGTGCATAGTTGATTTTATTTTTTGCCTTTATTTAGTATTTGGTAGGTCTGCTTTCTTTGGTGTGATTTTATTTTTCTCTGGTGACATCTATTTAGCCTTAGGAGTGCTTCCATCTGGAGCAGTCCCTCTAAAATACCCTGTAGAGGTGGTTTGTGGGAGGCAAATTCCCTCAACTTTTGCTTGTCTGGAAATTGTTTAGTCCCTCCTTCATATTTAAATGATGATCATGCTGGATACAGTATTCTTGGTTCAAGGTCCTTCTGTTTCATTGCATTAAGTATATCATGCCATTCTCTTCTGGCCTGTAAGGTTTCTGTTGAGAAGTCTGATGAGAGCCTGATGGGTTTTCCTTTGTAGAAGACCTTCTTTCTCTCTCTGGCTGATTTTAATACTCTGTCCTTGTCTTTGATCTTTGTTATTTTAATTATTATATGTTTTGGTGTCGTCCACCTTGGTCCCTTGTGTTGGGAGTTCTGTGGCCTCCATGGTCTGAGAGACTATTTCCTCCCCCAGTTTGGGGAAGTTTTCAGCAATTATTTCTTCAAATACACTTTCTATCCCTTTTTCTCTCTTCTTCTTCTTCTTCTTCTGGTACTCCTATAATGTGAATATTGTTCCGTTTGGATTGGTCACACATTTTCTCTTAATATTCTTTCATTCCTGGAGATCCTTTTATCTCTCTCTGTGTCAGCTTCTCTGTATCCCTGTTGGACTGACCCCTTTATCATTATTTATCATTTCTATTCCATTAACGGCCTCTTGCACCTCATCCAGTCTGCTCTTAAGTCCTTCCAGAGATTGCTTTATTTCTGTTTTCTCCCTCCTAACTTGATCCTTTAGCTCTGGCATATTTCTGTGCAGGTCGATCACCATGGTTATGACCTTTATTTTAAATTCTTTTTCAGGAAGATTGGTTAAATCTATCTCTCCAGGCCCTTTCTCAGGGGTTGTCTGGGTAATTCTGGACTGGACCAGATTCTTCTGCCTTTTCATGGTGATAGAGGTAGCTGTAGGCAGGTAGCACCTGTGTCAGCTGGGAGAACAAAGTCCTTTCCTGCTTGCTGGTCACCTTGCCCTTCTCCACTGCCTGTATCTGTTACCTACCATCCTGCAGCAGCCTCCGGATTAATCACCTAAGCTGCCATGGGCAGGGTCACTGTCAGGGTAGCCCAGAGCCCTGCAGAGAGTGGTCTGCATGCCAGGTGTGCTCTCCAGGAAGAGGGATGCCCTGTCATGCCTTGCCCCAGTTTCTTCTTCCTGTGCCAGGCAGCTGCATGCCAACAGCGGCCTTTGGGTTTAGCCCGGGCAGCTGTGCACCAGGAGGAGATTCTGGGAGGCTGCTGGGGGAATGGCTGCTCCACTGCAGCTCTTCAGCTGCTGGACCACTGTGTCAGGGGCCGTGCCAGCCAGGGGACTGACTGGCAGGCTGGTTACTGCCGTGAGGGACTTCTGAGCTGCACTGCTGCCCAGGGGATTAGGGTGCTTGAAGTTCCCCAGGATTCCCAGCATCTGGGCTTAGTGTGCTGGGATGCTTCCATCTAGCTGTGAAGTCCCTGCCCCTTTAAGACTTTCTAAAAGCACTTGCTTTTTTTTTTGTCCCTGTGGTGCTAGTTTCGGGGACTCACAGATTTTGCTTTTCCATTTCTCTAATATCCAGCACACCATGCAGTGTGTGTCTGCACTCCTGGTGCAGATTACTAGAGCTGCTTGTTTAGCAGTCCTGGGCTTTCACTCCCTCCCTGTTCTGACTCCTTTCCTCCTCCTGGTGAGTTGGGGTGGGGAGTGCACTTGGGTCCCACCAGTCCATGGCTTATATCTTACCCCCTTCGTGAGATGCTGAGTTCTCCCTGATGTAGATGTAGCCTAGTTGTTGTACTGTATCCACTGGTCTCTCTTTTAGGAATAGTTGTATTTGTTGTATTTTTAAAAATATAAAACAACAACAAATGTTGGCGAGGTTGTGGAGAAATTGGAACTCTCCTACACTGCTGGTGGGAATGTAAATTAGTTCAACCACTGTGAAAAGCAGTATGGAGGTTCCTCAAAATGCTCAAGATAGAAATACCATTTTACCCAGGAATTCCACTTCTAGGAATTTACCCTAGGAATGCATCAGTCCAGTTTGAAAAAGACAGATGCACCCCTTTGTTTATCACAGCATTATTTACAATAGCCATGAAATGGAAGCAACTAAGTGCCCATCAGTAGATGAATGGATAAAGAAGAGGTGGTACATATACACAATGTAATATTATTCAGCCATAAGAAGAAAACATATCCTACCACTTGTGACAACATGGATGGAGCTAGAGGGTATATTATGCTCAGTGAAATAAGCCAGGAGGAGAACGACAAGTACCAAATGATTTCACTCATATGTGGATTATAACAACAAAGAAAAAACTGAAGGAATAAAACAGCAGCAGAATCACAGAACCCAAGAAAGGACTAACAGTTATCAAAGGGAAAGGGATTGGGGAGGATGAGTGAGAAGGAAGGATATGGGGGTGGGGGGAAGAAAGGGGGCATTATGATTAGCATGTATAATCTGCAGGGAGGCATGGGGAGGGCTGTGCAACACAGAAAAGACAAGTAGTGACTCTACAGTATCCTACAATGCTGATGGAGAGTGACTGTAATGGCGTTTATCGGGGGGACTTGGTGAAGGGGGGAGCCTAGTAATGTTACTCATGTAATTGTAGATTAATGATACAAAAAAAATACCATGACAAGAAAAAAAAATATGTATATATGTATGTGTATGGTTTTGGGAGGAGATTTCCACTGCCCTACTCAAGCCACCGTCTTGGCTCCTCCTCATTGGTATTTCCTTCTTTTTAATGATACTGTAAATGGAATTGTGTTCTCAATTATTGTTTTGGATGGTTATAGCTGATGTACAGAAGATGACTTCTGTCTGCTAATCTTGTACCCTGAAACTTTGCTGAACTTATTAGCAATAGTAATTTTTTTGTGGAATGTTTGAGATTTTCTATATATAGGATAATGTCATCTATGACTAGAGATAGTTTTATTTCTTTTTTTCCAATTTGGATGCTTTTTGTTTCTTTTCCTTGTTTAATTGCTCTGGGTAGAACTTTCCATATAATTTTGAAGAGCTGTGGCAAAAGTTGGCATTCTTGATCTTACAGGGAAAGTTTTCAGAGTTTCACCATTGAGTAGGATTTTAGCTGTGGGTTTTCATTAATGCATTTTACCATGTTGAGCAGCATCCCTTCTATTCCTGGTTTGCTGAATGTTTTTATCATGAAAGGATGTAGATTTTTATCAAATGTGTTACTGCATCAATTGAGAGGACCATCTGTTTTTCTTACTTCATTCTCCTAATGGATGTATAACATTGATTTTTTTGTATCATTAATCTACAATTAAATGAGGAACATTATGTTTACCAGACTCCCACCATCATCAAGTCCCCCCCACATACCCCCTTACAGTCACTGTCCATCAGCATAGTAAGATGCTGTAGAATCACTACTTGTCTTCTCTGTGTTGCACAGCCCTCCCCATGCCCCCACATACATTATACATGCTAATCATAAGGCCCCCTTTCTTCTCCCCCCATTTCTCCCTCCCTTCCCACCCATACTCCCCAGTCCCTTCCCTTTGGTAACAGTTCGTCCTTTCTTGGGTTCTGTGAGTCTGCTGCTGTTTTGTTCCTTCAGTTTTTCCTTTGTTCTTATATTCCACATATGAATGAAATCATTTGGTACTTCTCTTTCTCTGCCTGGCTTATTTCACTGAGCATAATACCCTGTAGCTCCATCCATGTTGTTGCAAATGGTAGGATTTGTTTTCTTCTGATGGCTGAATAATATTCCGTTGGGTATATGTACCATATCTTCTTTATCCATTCATCTACTGGTGGACACTTAGGTTGCTTCCATTTCTTGGCTATTGTAAATAGTGCTGCGATAAACATAGGGGTGCATCTGTCATTTTCAAACTGGAGTGCTGCATTCTTAGGGTAAATTCCTAGAAGTGGGAGTCCTGGGTCAAATGGTATTTCTATTTTGAGCTTTTTGAGGAACCTCCATACTGCTTTCCACAATGGTTGAACTAATTTACATTCCCACCAGCAGTGTAGGAGGGTACCCCTTTTTCCACAACCTCGCCAACATTTGTTGTTGTTTGTCGTTTGGATGGTGGCGATCCTTACTGGTGTGAAGTGATATCTCATTGTGGTTTTAATTTGCATTTCTCTGATGACGAGTGATGTGGAGCATATTTTCATGTGTCTGTTGTCCATCTAAATTTCTTCTTTGGAGAAGTGTCTGTTCAGCTCCTGAATTAATCAAGCTGATTAAAAACTTGGCATAGGATATGAAGAGAAAATTCTCCAAAGAAGAAATTCAGATGGCCAACAGGCACACAAAAAGATGCTCCATATCACTAATCATTAAGGAAATGCAAATAAAAACCACAATGAGATATCACCTCACACCAGTTTGGATGGTCAGTATCAAAAAGCCTAAGAACAACAGATGCCGGTGAGGATGCAGAGAAAAGGGAACCCTCCTATACTGGAGGGGATGATATTATGGGTGAATGTTGAACTATTTTGTTGTGTATTTGAAACATCATAAGTTTGTATATCAACATTTTGCCCATTTTTTAATTGGATTATTGCTTTTTGTTTGTTGAGGTGCATGAACTCTTTATATATTTTGGATGTCAACCCATTATCAGATCTGTCATTTATGAATATATTCTCCCATACTGTAGGATGCCTTTTTGTTCTTTTGATGGTGTCCTTTGCTGTACAGAAGCTTTTCAGCTTGATATAGTCCCACTTGTTAATTTTTGCTTTTGTTTCCCTTGCCTACATTGATTTTTAAAACTATGGAACTCTCTCCAAATTTGTGTGTCATCCTTGCACAGGGCCTATACTGTTTGTTCTTCTCTGTATTGTTTCATATTTATTTATTTATTTGTCTTTTTAAGTATATGTGCTGCCAAAGTGAGCACATACACTAATTTTTGTATGTTGAACAACCTTGTCATTTCTGGGATAAATCCCATTTGGTCATGGTCTATATGCCATTGGAGTTGATTTACTAGTATTTTCTTGGAGGATTTTTGTATCTGTACCCAAATGGAATATTGGTGTGTAATTGGTGATGTCTTGGTCTGACTTTGGTGTCAGGGTAATTCTTCCCTTATAGAATGAGTTATGAAGTATTTCCTTTTTTCTTCTTGTTTTTGAAAGAGTTTGAGGAAAATTTGTGTTATTCTTTAAATGTTTGGTAGAATTCACCAGTGAAGCCATCTGGAATTGGAGTTCCCTTCTTGCAAGAACTTTTATTATAATTAAAATCTCTTCACTTGTTATAGGTCTCTTCAGATTTCCTATTCCTTTTTGAATCAAGTTTGGTAATTTGTCACTCTCACTTTGCATCTAATTTATTGGTGTACAGTTATTTGTAGTATTTCCTTACAGTGTTTTTCATTTCTGTAAGGTTGGTAGCAATGTCCCCACTTTCATTTCTGATTTTTTTGTGACTTCTCTCACTTTTAACTGCAGAATTGTCAAGTTAAGAAATCCTCAAAGAATCAACTTTTTTGTTGAGTTTATTGTTTTACTATTTTTTACTTCATTTATCTATGCTCTAATCTTTATTATTTCCTTTGTTCTGCTAGCTTTGGGTTTGCTTTGCTTTTTCTTTTATGGATGGCTTCAAGAGCCTTTGGGTTCTTGTTTTTTTTTTAATTAAAGTAACTTGATATACAAACTTATGATGTTTCAAATACACAACAAAATAGTTCAACATTCACCCATAATATCATCCCCTCCAGTATAGGAGGGTTCCCTTTTCTCTGCATCCTCACCGGCATCTGTTGTTCTTAGTCTTTTTGATACTGACCATCCAAACTGGTGTGAGGTGATATCTCATTGTGGTTTTTATTTGCATTTCCTTAATGATTAGTGATATGGAGCATCTTTTTGTGTGCCTGTTGGCCATCTGAATTTCTTCTTTGGAGAATTTTCTCTTCATATCCTATGCCAAGTTTTTAATCAGCTTATTTGCTTTTTGGGTGTTGAGGTGTGCGAGTTCTTTATATATTTTGGATGTTAACCCCTTGTTGGATCTGTTGTTCACAAATATATTCTCCCATACTATAGGACGCCTTATTGTTCTCTTGATGGTGTACTTTGCTGTACAGAAACTTTTTAGTTTCGTGTAATCCCATGTGTTTATTTTTGCTTTTGTTTCCCTTGCCCGAGGAGATGCGCTCAGGAAAAAGTTGCTCATGTTTATATTTGAGATTTTTGCCTATGTTTTATTCTAAGAGTTTTATGATTTCATGACTTACATTCAAGTCTTTTATCCATTTCGAGTTTACTTTTGTGTATGGGGTTAGACTATAATCCACTTTCATTCTCTTGCATGTAGCTGTCCAGTTTTGCCAACACCAGTTGTTGAAGAGACTGTTACTTCCACATTATATGTCCATGGCTCCTTTGTCATATATTAATTGACCATTACATGCTTGGGTTTATATATGGGCTCTCCAGTCTTTTCCCTTGGTCTATGCATCTGTTCTTGTGCAAGCACCAATTATTGATTACTGTGGCTTTGTAGTAGAGCTTGAATTTGGGGAGCATAATACCCCCAGCTTTATTCTTCCTTCTCAAGATTGCTTTGGCTATTCAGTCTTTTTTGGTTCCATATGAATTTTAGAACTATATGCTCTAGTTTGTTGAAGAACGCTGTTGGTATTTTGATAGGGATTGCACTGAATCTGTAGATTGCCGTAGGCAGGATAGCCATTTTGACAATATTAAGTCTTCCAATCCATGAGCATGGGATGTGTTTCCATTTACTGGTATCTTCTTTATTTTCCCTCATGAGTGTCTTGTAGTTTTCAGAGTATAAGTGTTTCACTTTCTTTGTTAGGTTTATTTCTAGATATTTTATTCTTTTTGATGCAATCTGGATGGAATTGTTTTCCTGATTTCTCTTTCTGCTAGTTTATCATTAGTGTATAGGAATTCAACAGATTTCTCTGTATTAATTTGGTATCCTGCAACTTTGCTGAATTCAGATATTAGATCTGGTAGTTTTGGAGTTGATTCTTTAGGGTTTTTATGTACAATATCATGTCATCTGCAAACAGGGACAGTTTAACTTATTCCTTGCCAGTTTCGATGCCTTTCATTTCTTTGTGTTGTCTGATTGCCATGGCTAGGACCTCCACTACTATGTTGAATAAAAGTAGGGAGAGTGGGCATCCTTGTCTTCTTCCAGATCTTAAAGGAAAAGCTTTCAGCTTCTCACTGTTAAGTATAATGTTGCCTGTGGGTTTGTCATATATGGCCTTTATTATGTTGAGGTGTTTGCCCTCTCTACCCGTTTTGTTGAGTTTTTATCATGAATGGATGTTGAATTTTCTCAAATGCTTTTTCAGCATCTATGGAGATGATCATGTGGTTTTTGCCCTTCCTTTTATTGATGTGGTAGATGATGTTGATGGATTTTTGGATGTGGTACCATCCTTGCATCCCTTGATGAATCCCGTTTGATCATGATGGATGATCTTTTTTGATGTATTGTTGAATTTGGTTTGATAGTATTTTTTGAGTATTTTTGCATCTATGTTCGTCAGGGATATTGTTCTGTAATTTTCTTTTTTTGTGGTGTCTTTGCCTGGGTTTGGTATTAGAGTGTTGCTAGCCTCATAGAATGAGTTTGTGAGCATTCCTTCTTCTTCTAGTTTTGGAAAACTTTAAGGAGGATGGGTATTAGGTTTTCACTAAGTGTTTGATAAAATTCAGTGGTGAAGCCATATGGTCCAGGAATTTTGTTATTAGGTAGTTTTCTGATTACCAGTTCAATTTCTTTGCTGGTAATTGGTCTGTTCAGATTTTCTGTTTCTTTCTGGGTCAGCTATGGAAGGTTGTATTTTTATAGAAAGTTGTCCATTTCTTCTAGGTTATCCAGTTTCTTAGCATATAAATTTTCATAATATTCTCTAATAATTCTTTGTATTTCTGTGGTGTCCATAGTGATTTTTCCTTTCCCATTTCTGATTCTGTTTATGTGTGTAGACTCTCTTTTTTTCTTGATAAGTCTGGATAGGGGGTTATCTATTTTGTTTATTTTCTCAAAGAACCAGATCTTGCTTTCATTGATTCTACTGTTTTATATTTCTCAATTTTATTTATTTCTGCTCTAATCTTTATTATGTCCCCCCTTCTACTGACTTTGGGCCTCATTTGTTCTTCTTTTTCTAGTTTCATTAATTGTGAGTTTAGACTGCTTGTATGGGATCGTTCTCCTTTCCTGGGGTAGGCCTGTATTGTAATATACTTTCCTCTTAACACAGTCTTCGCTGTGTCCCACAGGTTTTATGTTGTTGAATTATGTTGTCATTTGTCTCCATATATTGCTTGATCTCTGTTTTTATTTGGTCATTGATCTATTGGTTATTTAGGAGCCTGTTGTGAAGCCTCCACGTGTTTGTGGGATTTTTTCATTTTGTTTGTGTAATTTATTTCTAATTTCATAGCTTTGTGGTATGAGAAAAACTGGTTAGTATGATTGGAATCTTTTTGAATTTACTGAGGCTCTTTTTGTGGCCTAGTATGTGATCTGTTCTTGAAAATGTTCCATGTGCACTTGAGAAGAATGTGTATCCTGCTGCTTTTGGGTGTAAAGTTCTGTAGATGTCTGTTAAGTCCATCTGTTCTAGTGTGTTGTTCAGTGCCTCTGTGTTCTTACTTATTTTCTGTCTGTTGGATCTGTTGTTTGGAGTGAGTGGTGTATTGAAGTCTCCTAAAATGAATGAATTGCATTTTGTTTCCTCCTTTAATTCTGTTAGTATTTGTTTCACATATGTAAGTGATCCTTTGTTGGGTACATATATACTTATAATGGTTATATGCTCTTGTTGGACTCTCCCCTTTATCATTATGTAATGTCCTTCTTTATCTCTTGTGACTTTCTTTGTTTTGAAGTCTATTTTGTCTGATACAAGTACTGCAACTCCTGCTTTTTTCTCCCTATTAGTTGCATGAAGTATATTTTTCCATCCTTTCACTTTACATTTAGGGTGATTATTGATAGATATGTACTTATTGCCATTGCAGGCTTTGGATTTGTGGTTACCAAAGATTCAAGGGTAGTTTCTTTACTATCTTCCTGTCTAACTTAACTCGCTTATTAAGCTATTATAAACACAGTCTGATGATTCTTTATTTCTCTCCCTTCTTATTACTCCTCCTCCATTCTTTATATATTCAGTGTTTTATTCTGTACTCTTTTGTGTTTTCTTTGGCTCTTTTTGTGAATAGTTTATTTTATTTTTTGCCTTTAGTTAGTATGTAGTTGTTCTGCTTTCTTTCGTGTGATTTTATTTTCTCTGGTGACATCTATTTAGCCTTAGGAGTGCTTCCATCTAGAGCAGTCCCCTTAAAATACCCTGTAGAGGTGGTTTGTGGGAGGCAAATTCCCTCAACTTTTGCTTGTCTGGAAGTTGTTTAATCCCTCCTTCATATTTAAATTATAATCGTGCTGGACACAGTATTCTTGGTTCAAGGTCCCTCTGTTTCATTGCATTAAATATATCATGCCACTCTCTTCTGGCCTGTAACATATCTGTTGAAAAGTCTGATGATAGCCCGATGGGTTTTCCTTTGTAGGTAATCTTTTTTTCTCTCTCTGGCTGCATTTAATCCTCTGTCCTTGTCTTTGATCTTTGCCATTTTAATTATTATATGTTTTGGTGTCATCCTCTTTGGGTCCCTTGTGTTGGGAGATCTGTGGGCTTCCATGGTCTGAGAGACTATTTCCTTCCCTAGCTTGGGGAAATTTTCAGCAATTATTTCTTCAAAGACACTTTCTATCCCCTTTTCTCTCTCTTCTTCTTTTGGTACCCCTATAATGCAAATATTTTTCTGTTTGGATTGGTCACACAGTTCTCTTAGTATTTTTTTCATTCCTAG